GACACCGCGGAAGTCACTGCATCTTCCACCTGGGGATCACCGCTTCAGGGTGACTTACGGGCACACGAGCAGCAAGACTGTGCAGGTGAGGGGAAATGCACCAAAGGCTTTCTGGGAACTTCTCTCAAAATAAATAGCGAACAACGCAGCAGTGACGTTTGTGACGACAGCAGCGCTGCTAACAGGTGCTCCTGGCCCTTTGGGACGAGGCTCTATCAGGGTTTTTATTTGCAGCAAATTCCTTGTTTATTTTTTAAAATAAGGACAAAGGTTGCTGTTCACAGTGCTGCTGGGTAAAACAGGCCATAGCACACCAGGAAAAAGACGTTTCTTCTACAAATCCTGTGTGTGTGTATGTGTGTATGCATTTCCGTTCTCATCTTCTCTAATGCCCCCATTCACACTCACGCAAGCATATGCACACACAGGCACACACAAATGCTACACACATGCCCTCCACCTCCACCTCCACACACACACACCCCGTAAAGCACACATAGGGATGCACTGATAGGTTTTGTCTGCATCGGGACATGGAGGTGACTTCTCCCTCTGGGTTCTCGGTGCATTTAGACCTGCGACGGCATCGCTTTGGTCACTGGGAGGAGGTGCGGGGGGTGGGGGTGGTGGATCAGGTCTGATTGGAATAAGCCACACGAGGAGTCAGCACTGGCAGCTGAGCACCTGGCAAAGGAGAGAGGACGTGAGAGCAGCATTAACCGGGCGGCGCGTGTGGGACGCGTGCTCGGGAACCAGCACTCACGGTCAGACTCCCGAAATGTGGTGGCAGACGCAGCTACTGCCGTCCTGCTGTCTGTCCAGTCCTCAGGACGTCCTTCTGTCTGTCCAGTCCTCAGGACGTCCTGCTGTCTGTCTGTCCAGTCCTCAGGACGTCCTGCTGTCTGTCTGTCCCGTCCTCAGGACGTCCTGCTGTCTGTCTGTCCAGTCCTCAGGACGTCCTGCTGTCTGTCTGTCCAGTCCTCAGGACGTCCCCTCCCCCTCCACCTCCACACACACACACCCCGTAAAGCACACATAGGGATGCACTGATAGGTTTTGTCTGCATCGGGACATGGAGGTGACTTCTCCCTCTGGGTTCTCGGTGCATTTAGACCTGCGACGGCATCGCTTTGGTCACTGGGAGGAGGTGCGGGGGGTGGGGGTGGTGGGTCAGGTCTGATTGGAATAAGCCACACGAGGAGTCAGCACTGGCAGCTGAGCACCTGGCAAAGGAGAGAGGACGTGAGAGCAGCATTAACCGGGCGGCGCGTGTGGGACGCGTGCTCGGGAACCAGCACTCACGGTCAGACTCCCGAAATGTGGTGGCAGACGCAGCTACTGCCGTCCTGCTGTCTGTCCAGTCCTCAGGACGTCCTGCTGTCTGTCCAGTCCTCAGGACGTCCTGCTGTCTGTCCAGTCCTCAGGACGGGCTTGGCTGCTTGAAAAACGCCCCCCACATTGGCTGAGCTGCAGATGCCTGCACGAACCCCCACCAAGCCGCCCGGACGGGGTGGCAGCCATCAGAGTCCTGTGCACAGAACCCGCCTGAGTCACCTCTAGAACTCAGGACACAGCAGAGGAGCAAAAAGACCAAGATAGGAAATAAGAAAAGCCCAGCAAGGGGCCTCCACTCAGAGTCCATGGTCCTGGTCCCACTGACCTCGGAGCAACCTGAGGCCCAGGTGGTGCTACCCATACACCGCAGTGTCCCGCACGGCCACCAGGGGGCGCTGCAGGCACAGGGTTTTCTATCCTTTGCCCAACAACGAGGCCCCATTCCCCACCAGAGTCACTGGGGGGCCAGCTCCCAGGTAAGCCCTGGTGTACATGTAACTGTAACGTATAAATGTCACTTCGGACATTTTGGTGTACGGAAGCATAAAGGGCTCTCTGCCAGAGACGGGAGAAGGGAGGGCCGGGCCTACCCATAACCAGGGCTTCCTCCCCCAAAGACAAAATAAGTGAAAACTGCAGGCAACAGGGGCACCCTGTCCTTTTGAGGTTCCATTTATCTGTGAGCCTCAGGCCCGAACCCCGGCAGCAGCAGACGACCTCGGCGCCCGGAGCCGCGCAGGCAGGGCGCTCCCCGCGGCCTCCCCCCTAAGCCGCCGCAAATCCTTTGTGGAAGGAGGCAAGATGTAAACAACAATTTTAAAAACACAGAGGCTTCCTCTGCTGTTTATATTCCTCACGTGTTCGGCTTTTCCCTTCTTATTTTCCAAGACCCCTCAAGGAAGTGACTTTGCCTTCACAGTCGTGTTGGCAACCGGCCACCGGAGGACGGATGAGCGAGAGGGGGGCTGGCACCCGTGGGTGCTGGGGTGGATCCAGGCTGGGTCTCTGCCTGAAAGGCAGACGAAGTGACCTCTGCCTTCTATCTGTCCCTCCTGTCTCCACCAAGCAGGGACGAGGCTGCTCACCTCATTCCGTGCCTCGGTTTCCCCATCGATAAAAGACGAGGCCTCGCGGTGGAGATGAGGGCTCCCGGCCCTGAGCCCCCCCAGCGCCACGGCTCAGGGGCCAGGCTGTTAGGATCCACCAACTCCCTAACCTGGGCCTTGGAGTGTCTCGTCAGGAAAGTCACACACAGATTTCATTTGGAACTGGGGGTCTCGGCCTCTTCCCTAACCGCCTGAAGCAACTCTGGGCTCCGTTTGAAAAATCAATTCTGGGCAGAAAACTCCGGAGCAAACACCAAGCAGACAACTTCCTGCGGGAGCTCTGGCGTGGGCGCGCCTCTGAAAACCCGGGGACGGCCGGGCCTCCCGCCACCTTTCCTTGAAAGCAAGAGTCGCAAATGTTTTGAAAACAACAGATTATCTTTGAAGCAGCAGCAACAACAAAGAACCATTTGTCTCTCCCCAAGCCCACTCACTTGCCGTCCAGTGGGGGTGGGCGGGGACAGGCCCTGGGACAAACTGTTTCCTACCAGGGCAAGCATTGCGACAGTCAGGGAAACCCCACACCCGGGCAACTGGCTCACTAAAGGCTCAGCCGCTGCTGCAGGGGGGCCGGCTGCCTCCTCCCTGTCCTGTCTCCTCTGCCCCTTTTCCTGGCGAAGGATCCACCGGCCGGAAATCAAGTGCGATCATCACTCATGTGGCCGGTGGGTCCCTGTGGGGAGTGGGGGCTCACACACAGCCCAGGAAGTTCCATCCCTGGGTCTCTCCTGGGACACACTAGCACAGACAAAAGGTGGCTCATGGCAGCACTGCTGGGAACGCAAAACAGCCGTCAAACAGCCTAATATGCAAACGATGGGGACTGGGCAGCGTGCTCTGTGCCGGAGAGGAGGCCGGACCACACACAGAAAATGCACACAGAAAGGACACGTGGCATTCACAGGAGGAGCTGGCCTCCGGGGTGGGAGGCATCGCGCTTGTGCGTGTGCGTGTGTATGTGTGTGTGTGCGTGTGTGAGATCTGAGAGTTTCAGGGGTGTGGACTCTGAGAAGACCCCTAACAAGAAGGGCGCCTCCAGGTGGGCTCTAATTAAAAATCAGAGTCGAGCAGCCATTTCTTCACAGGGCCTTTCAAGCAAACAGCACTTTAGGGAGAAGGCTGCCCTCAACTTCCTGCCTGCACTGTGTTCCTGCCTCTGAGCAGCTCTTATATAGGGGCCCCTGGAATCCTATTTCAACCAATAGGACTGAGGCTTTCCCGTCCAATCAGAGCTGCACAGCTATACCCGGAATCTCTAAGTGCATGAGGACGGACCAATCAGGGGCGAGGGGCAGGGGCTTCTGTCTATATAAGCCAGCTCCCCTCAGCTCCCTAGGGCCCCTAGGCCCACTTTCCTTCCTACCAAAGCCTGTTCCCAGGCTGGAGCCAGAGCTGGAGCTGGAACTGAAACACCAAAGACACCTCAGCCCAGGGCACCTCTCCTCCGAGCTGTCCCACGGCCATCCCCAGTCACAACCGAATACAGTTTCCATCCTTGCCCCCCGCGCCCCCAGATTGGGTCGGTGCCAGGGACCATCGGTTGGCAGTTATATATGTAACGCTCCACAATTCTAATGTCAAAATACGAAAGAATGGTGTTCAGATGCCACTTTTCGATAGATGAACGGCGCTCGAAACGTGCGGTGGCTGTGGCTGCTTTTAAGCGGCAGGAGACGAGCGAGGTTCTCGGTGCTTTTTCTCTGTTTCTCGCCATCCCTCACCCCAGGAGAAAGCACATGGGCAGCCTTCCTCCTATGGGGTCTCCCAGATGCCCACCATTGGGGAGAAAATAGCTCTAGCCGATGCCACAAGG